TTAGGCTGAAGAGGCCTAAGTCCCTCAGCCCTTCCTCGTATGGTCTGCCTTGAAAGTCTCTGATCATATGGGTGGCCTTTCTCTGGACTCTCTCAAGTTTTCCACATCCTTGTTGAAGTGCAGCATCCAGAACTGGATGCAGTACTCCAGCTGTGGTCTCACTAGTCCTGAGTAAAGTAGAAGAATCACTTGCTTGGTTTTACATGAGGTGCATCAGTTGATGCATGCCAGAGTGCTGTTTGCCCTGCTTGCTACAGCATCGCACTAACAGTTCATGTTCATGCAATGGTCATCTATTAGCCCTATGTCCCTTTTGGCCGTGGTGCAAGTCAGATTGTCACCACTGAGCCTATAGGTATGTTGGGGATTATTTGCCCCGAGGTGGAGTACTTTATACTTCTCAGTGGTGAACTTCATCCGGTTCCAATTTGCCCACCTCTCAGGTCTATCCATGTCCACCTATACCTGCAGCCTACCTGCAGGCGTGACTACGCTCCCCCATAACTTGGTGCTGTCTGCAAACTTGGCCAGTGAGCTCTTCACCCCCATATCCAAATAATTGATAAAGATGTTGAAAAATACCGGACCAAGCACGGACCCTTGAGGGACACCGCTGGCCACTTCTCTCCAGGATGACAGATCCGTTCATAAGAACTCTCTGGGTCCTACTTCGCAGCCAGTTTCCCAGCCATTGACCCGTTGAGCAGTTAAGCCCACACAGTTAAGCCCAGAATCTTTCAATTTTCCCATGAGGATATCATGGGATAGTAGATCAAAGACCTTTTGGAAGTCTAGGTATATAACGTTGACCTCTTCTTCCATGTCCAGGTGGCAAGAGACCTGGCCGTAGAAGGAGGTGAGATTGGTAAGACAGGACCTGCCTGCGACAAAGCCATGCTGGCTGTCGTTCAGAATCCTACCCTCTACAAGTGAATCGCATATAGACTCCTTGATGTGTTTTTCTAGGATTTTCCCTGGGATAAAAGTTAGATTGATTGGCCTATAGTTGCCCGGGTCTTCCCTCTTCCCCTTCTTGAAGATGGGCACAATGTTGGCCCTCTTCCACTCCTCAGGGATCTCACCTGAGCACCCTGATTTTTTTAAGATTCACCAGGGGTCCCGCAATGACCTCAGCCAGCTCCTTCAGCACTGTTGAGTGAAGTTCATCCAGTTGTGCTGACTTATAAATGTCTAGCTTTTCAAGTTGGTTACACACCAGCTCAGCATCAACAGTGGGAAGCTGTCATTCCCACCATGCCCTGTGTGAGCCTTATCTTGCATGTTTTTCCCCTTGGTCCAGTAAAAAACTGAAGCAAAGTGGGCATTCAGGAGTTGGCTTTCTCCTGGCTGTCTGTTACCAGCTGTCCTGAGGTGTTCAATTACCAGCTGTCCTGAGGTGATAAGGAAGTGCCCCACGCCTCCATTTGTTTTTCTTCTGCTCCCTACATACCTAAAGAAGGGCTTCTTATTGTCCTTGACTCCTGTTGCTAACCTGAATTCAGTCACTGTCTTAGCTTTCCTAATCTTCTCCCTACATGTGCAGACCACTATCGTATAGTCCCCCTTAAGGGGTGTCCCTAGCTTCCATTGTGTGTATGCCTTTTCTTTTTCAAGAGGACCATGATATTCCTCTTGAGCCATGAGGGCTTGAGAGCCCTTCTGCTGCCTTTCCACATGGGAATGGTCAGCTTTTATAATTCAAGGATCATGTCCTCGAGGAATGACCACTGTTCATGTACTCCATTCGCCTTCAGTCCCTGGTCCCGCATCCCCTCCCTTACTAATGCCCTAAGCCTGTTGAAACTAGTGTTTTCGAAGTCCAGGACTTCAGTCTTGCTAGTTGGTTTGTCTACCTTACAGCGGACAGTGAACAAGATGATGTTTGCTTTTTAGAATATAATTTGGTATTTTTCTGGTTCCGAGATGGCAAAATCCCTTGCAGAAAGGAGTACTTCTGGGAGCAAAGGAAGGGACTTCTGGTGGCAAAGGTCAGGGGGCAGAACTTCCAGTAACAACATGGCAAGCAGGGGGCAGGGCTGGTAAGGGGTGGGGCTACCTCTGCAGCCCTCAACAGCTTGCCAAAACTGAGCAAGCGGCCCGCTGCCCAAAATAATTTCCCATCCCCATAGTAGGCCCACTGACACCCTTACTGCTTGCAAAAACAGTCATGTCATCAGCATACACTGTCACCTTAACTGAGGGGCCAGTGGCCAGGGCTCTGGCTGATGAGAGGTCCAAGCCCTATCAGATACCGCTGCAGCATGTGGAGCAGTAGCACAATGATTAGGGCATGGAACATTCCAAAGAGGAGGCAGCCCTTGCTTGCTGGGAATGGGCACAAAGCACTCCATGTGCCTTCAGGAGGCTAGAGATGTCCCAGTACAAGAGATGGATGGATAGGGTGAAGAGGGGCCCAAAACCAAAGGCTTCCAGAGTCTGGAATAAAAAGTTGTGGTTCATCTGATCAGAGGCTTTTTCTTGATCCAGGGAGACAAGAGTGATGTTCATGCCAAAGAATTCCACTGCTGCCAGCAGGTCACATGGCAGCAATGCATCCTGAATGGTTCTGCCAGGGATACGGTAGCGCTGTTTAGGTCCTGTGACGTAGGCCTTGATCATTTTGAGCCTTTTGGTCAGGACTTTGGTCAGGATTTTGTAATCGGTATGTAGAAGCAGTACTGGTCACTGGAGATGCACTGATACGTCGGTCTCATTAGATCAGTACCGATATAAGGAAAATTGACTGTATTGGCAATTGGCATTTTTTTTGCTGATGTGGCTGATTAATGTTACCAATAAATGCCCCATGCATGCGTGCAGCTGCAGCACAGTACAGAGGTGGCCAGGAGTGCAGCTGGGCAGCATGGAGAGCACCTGGGTCCAGCTGGTAAGTCTGTTGTGAGGGAAGGGGCAGGGGGCAGATCAAGGCCCCAGCAATGAGGGAGGAAGGGGGGCGGGGCGGGGTGCTCCCCAGCCACGACGGGGCACAGGATGGAGCCGTGTCTCATTTGGGGGAGGGGGCAGCTTCTGCTGCTATATGCACCCTGGGAGGGCATGGGGGCTGCATGCCCCCAGATCTGTGCATGGGGTGTGGGCAGGTTGCCACTGCAGGCTGGGGCCAGGACTGCACTGGGCTCTTCCCATTGGGGGGCTGCGCTTGGGGTGGGCAGTGGCACTGGGAGGGAGAGCTACGGTTAGTTGGGGAGTGGCTGCAGCCCCCCCCATAGCCCCTTCCCAGTGCCACCCCCACCCACCCTGAGCACAACCTGGCCCAGCCCCCCAGCGCCACCTCTGCCCACAACAGCAGCAGTCTGCCCTTGCCCCATGCAGATCCAGGGGCATGCACCCCCCTGCATGTGCAGTGCCTGCCCCAGCCCCACTCCCTCCCTCACCATGGGGGCCTCAAATCAGCCCCCCCTCGCCCCTTCCCCCACAACAGACTTACCAGCCGGATGCTGCTCTCCATGCTGCCCAGCTGCATATTGGAATTGGATCATTAAAAATCAGCTATCAGTATCAGCCCAAAAATTCTCTGTTGGTGCACCCATGTTGGTCACGAGTTCCTAATGTCACTAAGATCCCCTTGCATTAGCAGCAGCATGGGAACTGCTCTTCAGCAACTGACAAGTAGCATCCCATCTTCAAGGCTCTCCTGGAAGATGTGCAGGATGTCTAGGCTGAGACGGGACTGGAAGTTCTCATGGAATTAACTGGGTAATGCATTGAGGCCTGGGGCTTTCTCCTAGGTGCTTCCCACTAGGTGAGGCCCCCATTGGCAGTGGTCAGCTCTGCCAAGGGTAGCTCCTGGTCTAACTTGTCTGCACTAGATGAGTTTAGGGAGGCCCTTGTGCAGGTGTTGAACATCTTGTGGGCAGGCAGTCTTGGTTGCAAATAATTCTGTGTAGTAGCTAATGGCATGATCTCAGATCTCAGTAAGGTCTGTGGGTACTTGGCCCTTCTTTCAAAGCAGGTTCAAGTTTTTGCTATTCATGGCAGGGACTGCTTTTCTTTTTTATGTGCTCTGTATATGGCAGTTAACTCAATTAGACTGCAGTTCTGTTTGAGTGCTCCAGGTGTTAGAGATAAACATGGTCTGTTCTGGAGAAATTATTCCTTTTTGTCATCTGAACATTTTTTCCTCACGTCAGTTTTCTAATAACATGCCTAGAAACGAGTGCATTATTTTAGGTGTGGTCATATTGGAGCTTTTTGGTAACTGCTACTCATTGCATCCCACATGTCTGTACAACCATGTACTATATTGGCCTTCTACAATGCTGTGTTACAAAACACATTCCTATCTAAATTGCTGTCTGCTGTCACCCTAAATCTGTTTCAGCAGGTTTTTCCTCTCACTTTGCATCTGAATTATTTTGCTGTGAGTTAATTAGCTTGCATGTTTTCTGAGTTGTCTTATTTTATTTTTCAACACATGGCTTAGATTAATCTGTGCTACAGAATTTTATTTCAAATGCAGTTGTGACTGATATTTGGTCATTACCCTAGACCTGGGACATATTATATCAGTTAATTCTGATTTAAACCAAGAACAACATGGAATTGAATCATGATTATTTAGCCACAACTTGTCCTGCTCCACTGGATTGTTAAATTGTCAGCATTATGCCAGCCAGTGATTTGTTTGGAATAATGTTTGTGTGGCACAGACCTGATCTGGCAACATGAAAAATGTCTCCTGTTTTCAGTGTAGTATTTTGGTCCTCTTAAAATCACATCCCACAGATTGTGGGTTATGACAAGCTGGGACTTAAAAGCAATTTGGTTTGACTGGTTGTCTCAACCTAGGTTGGAATACATCTGCATGTGTAAGCAAAAAATTTCTTATAGTTGTCCAATCACATTGACATGACAATCCATTTTAATTAATCTTGCGGAGATCAGGTGTAAATTTGAAATACAGTTTGGTTGTTTTGCTGTGATTATAGAGTTTTTTTCACAGGCAGAAAATCGAGTTCTTATTTGATTGTTACTTATTACAGGTCCAGCTTGTTGGTTTGGATGAGGAAAGCTCAGAGTTTATTTGTAGGAACACCTTTGACCACCCGTATCCTACCACCAAGCTCATGTGGATCCCAGATACCAAGGGAGTATATCCAGACCTGCTAGCAACCAGTGGCGACTACCTACGTGTATGGCGAGTAAGTACATTTCCCTCTAGAAGGACATGTAACATTAAGTGCATTGTATGTTTATCACCCTATCTCCCAGTTCCATTGCTTTTGAAACGGATCATATTCAGCTTTGTACTCTTTACACTTTTTACAAACTGAGGAGAAGGCCATAAAATCAATGCAAGGTGTTGGGTAATTTGTTTCTGTTGCCTGGTTTCTCAGAATAATTCCATCCCCTCTCCTACCAACAATATTCTAGCTGTCCCTGGTACATTAAATGTTACAGAAACAAGAACATTGTAAAGATGGCTTATTATATATAATGTGATGCCAAGGCCCAGTAAATGAGTTATAGCAGAGCCATATTAAAAAGCATGTAAATTTCTCAGTTTTACACCCTCAACCTTAAAGCCATATAGAAAATGCCACATAAAGTTACTGCTTGGAATTTTGAAAGCCTGACGTCCTTGGATTGTGGAGCCAAACCTTTCAGTAAGGCAGTTGTGTCGTTTCTTTTCTGAAGGTGGGTGAAACAGAAACCCGGCTGGAGTGTTTGCTAAATAACAACAAGAACTCTGATTTCTGTGCCCCGCTAACGTCTTTTGATTGGAATGAGGTGGACCCGTACCTACTAGGTAAGATTGTGTATTTTATGTTCTTAAAAGTCACATTTTGAATCCAGCCTGCCTGAGCAGTGACTGGAACTTCATACCATGTGGCAATTCTTTGGCTAAGTTCCTAAATCAGGGAAACCATTGCTGTTTTAAGTGTGAAAGGACCAAGGTGCCTTTAGAAAAAGAGTTTAATTTTTAGAAACGTCCCTTTAGGGAAGGTTTGGGTACATAAGTTGCCATGCAGGAGGCTTCCCTTGCTGTTGCTTGTGCTGTACCTAGAGATGTGGATCAGGAAATTTTCCAGTACTTTAGTTTTCTGTGGGAAATTTTCCATTTCTAAAAATTAATTGTTTCATAAAATTCATCAGTAACAATGAATGGATGCCAATAAAGTATTAGGCAAGCTTGGCAGGTTCAAAGTTTTAATGAATGTTTTTCAGGTGATTATCCCTAGGAAGTGTGAGAGAAAGTACATATATGTCTTATTGATGTGTAAACAGGAGGGTAAATATACTCACATAATAATCCAAACCAAAAATCAAGTAATGAATTCACCTAATTGGCTGTGCAGGTCAAATCAAAACCAAAGCTAAAATTTCTTATTTAATCTCAGACCGCAAGTAAAAGCAAAACAAAAACTGTGATTAATTTTTGTTTCACTTCCAGTTCAGCAAACTCACAGAGCAGCGTCTCATTTCTTTTCTTGAGTTGCGGAAGTTGAAAGTGTTTGCATAAGATCTGTTAGTTTTTTCCTGTTTTTGGTTTGAAGTAGTCATAATAATGCCTAATCAGAAAAAAACTAGTATGGGGCATCATTATAGTAAAATTCAAACCACTGAAGCAAGGAAGAAAGTCGGTAGATGTAAATATTGCGGGCAGGAGTATGCTAACAATGCAACAAGAATGAAGAAACATTTAATAATGTGTAAAAACTGTCCTGAAAGAGTATAAGCCATATACAGAAAGCTAATATAATGAAGTGGTGGAACAACATCATCTAAGAAAAGTTTACTTCTTTCCACATAAAGCTTTGAATTTGCTTGAATATAACATTTAAACCACATTAAGTGTGTTATATTTAATTTTTTTTCCTAATCAAATATTTCAGTTCAAATACTTGTGGCTATTGGGACATAAAATTAACATGGGGGTAGTTTTTTAGTATTTTGTTTACTAAATATAAGTCAAATTAAACATGCTAAATCAGATCACACTCTATTTAGGGTGTTGGAAAATTGTCCAGAAAACCCACATTTCTGGATGTGTACCTCCTGGCAATACTGTTGCCATTTTACCATGTTTCATTCAAATTCCGCAGCAGCAGCATGAGTTCAAACAGGATTATTTAATTGGAGAAGTGGGCTAGATTTTTAGTACTCAATTATAACCTGTGGGCTAAGGTATGCCTGCATGATAGTGGATTCTACTTCATCTGTAATGAAGACTGCCACTGATGCACAAGACTCAAAAGGGGCAATAAAATTCTCTATGTATGAATTAGCTTATGCCTCCATTTCCTCTACAGCAAACCTCACTCCTTGAAAACTGCTCATCTGTCATCCTGTTGCCTGCTATAATGATCATCCAACATTGGTATTGCAGTGTTGTCATTTGGTTTTCTGAGCTGACACTTGTCTATTTCTAATATGGGGCAATGGAATTTATCCCTTGGAGTTATTGTCTCAGGCTGTCTTGAGGCTTAAACAGACATGACGCTAATTTATATTTTCTTCAGGTTTGGAAGGCTGTTTCAGCACCTATATGGGCAGTAAACTAGATTTAGACATTTTTGGACAACTTGTCACTTGGGCCACTTAAATACATCATGGGCTGCAGAGTGGATCTGTCCTGCATATGTTTATATCCTTCAGCTGAACCATTGATCATGACCAGGGATCCTGGTTTTCCATGATAAAAAATTGCAGTTTCTCAGATTAAGAAATCACAAATTCTCTAATAAAAAACCTGAAATCCATGATTAAAATTAAAGGATATATCCCCCCGCCCCCAGCCCTGCTCATGCCTCTCACTCCTTCCTTACCCACAGCCCCTGCTTCCCCAGCCCTGCCAGAAGGGGGCCCCCAGCTGCCAGGGTTATGGACCCAGTTCTGCAGCCCCCTGCCCTCACTCCCCCCTACTGCCTGCTGCAGGTTTGGAGGTGGGAAGAG